GCGGATGACTTCAGAACCAAGTGAGTTGTTCAGAATGCGCACTGGGGTTCACTCCTTTTGTTTAATCTCCAGTTAAAGAAAAGGTATTTCTATAGTTTTCCTGAACAGAAGTTTGATCCATCGCTTGTGAAGGATTTTTCAGAGATTGAGGGGAACCCAGCAAAAAAAAAAAAAAAATCACAAAAATAGATAAGGATTAAAATCAATCTGTTTGCTTTTGGATCAATAGTGAGTCTTGACTGAGCCTCTAGAACCCTTTGTCTCCTGGTCCTACTCATTGCAGAAGGTGGGAAGACAAGGTGAATGGGGATATCAAAGATCATCTCTGTGAGACTTGGAAGTCTGCATATTACCACTTTGACTCCATCCTCATGCAGGTATGAAACGGAGCTGGGCTTGCGGCAGCTGGTAGAGTCTGACATGAACAGCCTGCGCAGAATTCTAGATGAGCTGACCCTGTGCAAGTCCGACCTGGAGGCCCAGGTGGAGTCCCTGAAGGAGGAGCTGCTCTGCCTCAAGAGCAACCACGAACAGGTGAGACCAGAAATGAGAAATGAAGAAACCTGGTTCAACCTCAAGCTGAGGGTGGCTTTGTTGATTTGGAGTGGCTGGATCAGGAATACGAAGCTGAAAGGGACTTCATTAATTTCCTTTAAAAACACCAACACTTCATGATGAAAGACAAAATAGAGAGATGAAACTTACCCATGTTCCCAGATAAGATGTCTCTTTTACTCAAAACCAGTGCATCATTTGAGTTTCCCAGAGTACCCCCATCAGCTTGTGATTGGCAATTGGGTTGCGGAATGAGTCCCTGTGTTGTTGTATTCATGCTGTGCAAAGTCATTTCTCATCCCCCAAAGGCCAAAGTATCAAGCTTGGTGAATCTGAGTCTCTACTCTTTCAAAATCTTGGTGAAGAATAATTTGGGGCTCCTTCTATCTCCTAGGAGGGGCTATGGCATGATTTCCTTCCTCGATGGCGAGAATTATTCAATATACAGTCTGAAATTGTACAGCCAGTTTTTATATGATGAGGTTATCTGCAGTCAATCTGCAAACTGGGAAGGTTGAACATTAGTCCATCCTTCAGTGGCAGCCAAGCAAATTCTTGCGAAGCTTTTTTGAATCCAAGTGCAATAGCACAGTCATGGTGAGAAGGTAGCTGGGCCACATGGAGCACAGATCACTTTGTCTTGAATGTCATAGACTGTTCCACTAGAAGTTTCTTTCACAAGGAAATAGACTAAAAGGGCTTCAATAAGCAATGCCATTTCTTAGCGTCCATTCTTCATTGAGGATAGTCAATCTTGCATTTTCTGCATTGACAGGAAGTCAACACCCTGCGCTGCCAGATTGGAGACCGCCTCAATGTGGAGGTGGACGCTGCCCCCACCGTGGACCTGAACCGCGTGCTCAATGAGACCAGGTGTCAGTACGAGGCCCTGGTGGAGACCAACCGCAGGGACGTGGAGGACTGGTACACCACCCAGGTGGGCGTCTCAGCGCATGGCCACTCGGGACCCTTGGGGCCCTCAAGGCAGGATCTGCCCTGTCTCTCCCCTTTGCTGTTTCAGACTCAGGAGCTGAACAAGCAGGTGGTGTCCAGCTCGGAGCAGCTGCAGACCTGCCAGGCGGAGATCATTGAGCTGAGACGCACGGTCAATGGCCTGGAGATCGAGCTGCAGGCCCAGCACAACCTGGTGGGTATCATTCAGAGTTTGGGGATCAGAGTCACTAAGATGCCCTTTGGGCCATGTTCTCCTTAACTTTTGAAGCTTCGATTTCCATGGAGCCCTATGGAGAACCCCACTAAAGGAGCAGCTCTGTGACTTCCTCGATCTTCCCCACACAGAGGGACTCTCTGGAGAACACGCTGACGGAGACGGAGGCCCGCTACAGCTCCCAGCTGTCCCAGGTGCAGTGCATGATCACCAACGTGGAGTCCCAGCTGGCTGAGATCAGGAGTGACCTTGAGCGGCAGAACCAGGAGTACCAGGTGCTGCTGGACGTCCGGGCCCGGCTGGAGTGTGAGATCAACACGTACCGGGACCTGCTGGAGAGCGAGGACTGCAAGTGAGTACATCGCCGCGGGTGTCTGATGAAGCCATGCACGCACATAAGCATACTTCTCAATTGGACGCCATTGCATACTTGGAAAGGAAATTATGCCTTCACATCAGACATGCTTAAACGGAACTCAGAAGACACAATATGGCCATCATTAAATACATAAAATGGCAAGGATTGTTTGATACATAAACTGAAATTGTGCAGCCAATTCTTTTCATTCTACTGTGTTAATAGTGATATGACATCAATGATATTTCTTACTTTTTATAATACCATAGTTTGTAGAGGGTACATTTCCATATACTACCTCATCTGGCCTTACAGTTAAGACCAGACAGGCTGGGTGAGTATTTTCCCTATGCTGTCAGTGAAGTAACTGGGCCTTGGAGAAGTTAAGGGTCTTTTTTAAAGCCACCAGTTAGGCATGAAGGGTGTTAGGAGTCAAAGCCAGAGTTTTAGAGTTTCTGCGTAGAACTTTGGGCACTATATGATAGGAAGACCATGAGCAATTTCACTGTGAGCTTTGCAGCAAGTGAGCCTGTGGCCTTTTCTGTTATAGGTCAAGCCAAGTCGTGACAGGCCTGACCTATAACTCCACTCTTGGAGTCTCTCTGGCATATATTATAAGCCCCCCTCGATTCACCTTTCTACATCTTTCTTTCTCTTTAGGCTGCCCTGCAACCCCTGTGCCACAACCAACGCGTGCGGCAAGCCCATTGGGCCCTGTGTCTCCAATCCCTGTGCCCCCTGTGTCCCCTGCACCCCCTGCGCTCCCTCTGCCTCCTGCACGCCTTGCGTCCCCCGCCCCCGCTGTGGGCCCTGCGGCTCCTCCGTGCGCTAGAAACCAGAGGCAACCAGAGGAGCAAGGAGACAGGGCTCAGGGCTCCAGGGTTTTGACCTGGTCCCGGTTCATTCAACATAAGGGCCTGAAGACACACTTTGCATGGCTGGAGCTGCCCCAGTGGTTCAGCTAAGAAACTCACCCAACCCATTTCAGACCCTTCCTTGCCCACCCATCCTTCACTGGGGTCTGTTCCTTCTCTGCGTGCCCAGAGAACCCTCTCAAGTGCCCGTGGCCTTTCCTTGGAAACTTCTAATAAACTTGATTCTCTTGGCGAAGCAGATGCCTTTCTCGCTGGTATATTCATTTGTTTCGCCACACCCGTCACTGGAGCACTCTATAAAAAGCCACTTGAAAGTAGGGCCAGATAATAGCCTGACTCTCGGATACAGGAGCCGTTCCATGCCTGGAGGGCAGAGGGCTGGCCTGACATCCTGGACCCACGGGTGAGGCAGGGTGGCAGGAGGGAGGACAGCGCAGCTGCAGGGCTGTGGTCTCTCTCCCGTTCGCCATTCCTGAGTTTTTCCACTCTCTCCTCTTGACCTGGACATCTCCTAGAGACAATTGCACCCAAATATGAAGTGAGGAGGCGGGAGCTGGGGTCAGAGAAGGAGGCTTTGGAAAGTTCATCTTTTCTTAGCAGGAAGTTTTCAGTTCAGCACTGTATTACCTGGGTTACTGGTGGTCTTAGCAGCCTCGGGAACACCCAATGAAGAGACCTTCTGGCTTGCCTGCTGTGCCCAGAACTTCCTCCTTCCTCTTGTGTAGGTGGATCATTGTCAGCCTGGGCTCCAGCTGCTCGCTTCTCCTCCCAGCCCTGGGGCTTAGAGACCCCTCGACTTTTCATTTGATTCTCCCGCCTTTCTCAATTCAGTCCAGTGAGTACCTATGGAATACCTACTCTGCGCAAACTCTGGATCATGGGAAGGAAAGAGACACGTAAAGAAAGACACAGTCCTGGCTGCAAGTTATTTACAATTTGTTAAAAGGGAAAAAACTCATTCCTAAGTGGTGTTGTTATAAGGCATAGTCCCCAGTACTGTGAACACAGGCTGGTCGTGGCAGGCAAATTTCTGAGTACGGAAAGTGACAGCAGCATTCATCGAGAATGGGTAACTGTAATGAAGAGCCACAAAAGTGATAAGCATTGACTTGCTAAAACCTCGGAGGACCGTTTTGATAGGAAGGGATCAGAGATAACTCAGGTCTCTACTTTTTACCACTAACCTACCCATCACCCAGGCTTCCTGAGGCTGGTACAGGACTCCATTTTCGTGAAACGTAGGCTTTTTGTACTGAAATAAAAAAAATAAATAAATAAATTGAAATTTATATGTATATATTTTTGATAAAGCAACTATTTATTCTTTCTACCATAATGTTCCCCTTGACCCTTATTTTTAAAGCTCAAATCCCAAGGTTTGCACACCCTGCTACTTGGCTTGTGAGAAGCCTCTGAGCTGGAATTCCTTCTCCGATGTGGTTTGCCACCAGGTCTGTGATTTCTTCCAAACCTAAGGCCAAGCTAGGTCCAGAAGTCCTCCCTAATTCTGCTTGTTCCTTTATTCCACGTCCCGCTTATATACATATTTTATAGTAACATAAAAGTGATACTAACAGTTCCGGTGGTAGGCAGAATAATTGCCCCCCTCCCTTGCATGTTCTAATTCCTGGAACCTGGAATATGTTAGGTTACACACAGAGGGAAATTAAGGTTGCAAATAAAATTTAAATCGCTAATCAGCTGACCTGAAAATGAGGACATTATCATGTGTTACCTTGTTGGCCCGATGTAATCGCGAGGGTTCTGAAAAGTGGAAGAGGGAGGCAGAAGAGAGCGAGAAGGAAGTAAGAATGAGGACACAGGTCAGAGCAACGTGACATGAGAAGGACTTGACCCATCACTGCAAGATCTGAAGACGGAGAAAGGGGGCCATCAGCCAAGGAACGCAGGTGGCTTCTAGATGCCGAAAAAGCAAAGAAGTGGCTTCTGCCCCCTCGATCCTCCAGAAAGGAACAGAGCCCTGCCAACACCCTGACTTTTTAAATTGTGGGAAAAAATATACAACATAAAATTTGCTATTTTAACCATTTTTATTCCACAATTCGGGGCCATTAAGTACATTCATACTGTGGTACAGCTATCACCACTATCCTATTTCGAGAGCTTTTTATCACCTTGTACTCATTAAACTTCTCAATTCCTCCTGCTCTAAGCCCCTGGTAACCTCTGTTCTACTTTCTGTCTGCATGAATCTTACTATTCTAGGTATTCAATGTAAGTAGAATCATATAATATTTGTCCTTTTGTGAAGGGAATCTTACTATTCTAGGTATTCGATGTAAGTAGAATCATATAATATTTGTCCTTTTGTGCCTGGCTTATTTCACTTGGTATAATGTTTTCAAGCTTCCTCCATGTTGTAGCATGTAGAATTTTGTTCCTTTTAAAGATTAAATAAGATTCCACTGTATGGAAATACCACATTTTGTCTGTTCATTCATCCATTGATGGATATTTGGGGTTGTTTCCACCTTTTGGCTATTGCGAATAATGCAACTATGAACACTGGTATACATATACGTGCTTAAGTCTCTGCTTTCAATTATATTGTGTGTGTACCTAGAAGTAGAAATGCCAGACCACATGGTAATTCTATATTTAACTTTTTGAGGAACAATCAGACTGTTATCAACAGTGGCTGCACCATTTAACATTTCCCCTAGCAATGCACACATCTTCCAATCTGTCCACATCCTTGCCAACACTTGTTATTTTCTGTGTATTTTTCCCTAATAGCCACTCTAATGGGTGTGAAGTGGTATCTCATTGTGGCTTCGATTAGTGATATTGAGCTTCTTTCCATGGGCTTATTGATATTTTGTATCTCTTCTTTGAAGAAATATCTATTCAAGTCCTTTGCCCATTAAACAAAAATTTTTGTTGTTGTATTTCTTTATAAATTCTGAATATTAATCCCTAATCAGATACATGATTTGCAGATATATTCTCTCATTCTGTGGGTTGCCTTTCACTCTTTTAAGAGTGTCTTTTGATGCACAAAAGTTTAAGATTTTTTTAAAGTTCACTTTACCTATTTTTTCTTTTGTTATCTGTCCTTTTGGTGTCATAGCCAAGAAATTGTTATCAAACCTAATGTCATGAAGATTTTTCCCTATTTTTATTCCAAGAGATTTATAGTTTTAGCTCTTACATTTAGATCAATGATCCATTTTGAGTTAATTTTTGTATGTAGCGTAAAGTAAGGGTCCAAGCTTCATTCTTTTGTATGTGCACATCAAGTTCTTTCAACACTGTTTGTTGAAAAGGCTGTCTTTTCTTCAATGGTCCTGGCATCTTCTTTGAAAGTCATTTGATCATATATGCGAGGGATGATTGCTGGATTCTATTGTATTCCATTGGTCTATATATTTGTCCTTATGCCAGCACCACTGTTTTGATTACCGTAGCCGTGTAGTACATTTTGAAAGTAGAAAATGTGAGTCCTCCAACTTCATTCTTCTATTTTAAGATTGTTTTAAATATTTGGTGTACCTTGAAATCTCATATGAATTTTGAGATGGGTTTTTCTAGTTCTGCAAAAGACATCACTGGGATTTTGATAGGGATTGCACTGAATCTATAGATTGCTTTGGGCTGTATTATTATCTTAACAATATTAAATCTTTCAATCCACAAATACAGGATGTCTTTCCATTTATTTCTGTCCTTTTAAATTTCTTTTTTCGATGTTTTGCAGATTTAGTGTACAAGTCTTTTACCTCTTTGGTTATATTTACTCCTAATATTTTATTCTTTTTGATGCTATTGTAAATGTTATTTTTTTTTCTTAATTTCCTTTTTGGATTGTTCATTGCTAGTGTACCTTGATTTTAACTCAATGAGAGTAAAATCTTGATTTTAGACCCATGCCAGACTTATGACCTATAGAACTTTAAGGTAATAAATTGCGTTGTTTTAAGCTACTAAATTTGTGGTAATTTGTGATAGAATAGGAAACTAATACAGCTCACATCTATTGAACATTAAGTATGAGTAGACCAAATACTAGGAACTTATCTTAAGTAATCGTCATAACAGTGCTACAAATTAAACACATTTTCCAGGTGAGAAAACTGAGCCTTGGGAACTTGCTCAAAATCACAGCTGGTTATTAGCAATTATGGAACTTGAACCAGGTTCTGTCTGTAGTTGCACATAAGACACCACTATAAAGTATGAAGACGATTTTAAAAATCAGAGCAGAATAATATATCAAGGTCAATGACCTTCTTCAAATTTGTTCCCTGCACACAGATTCCAACTAATGTTGGCAATTTTTTTTAGGAATTGGCTTTTGAGTCAATTAAGAGTCACCATTACACGGAGATTTTTAAAAAATTATCTAACTTGATTGTCTACCTTATTCACAAGTCTTCTCTTTGAATGGCTTCCAAAATATCAAACCCATTCTTAAAGGACAACGGTTTGCTGTTAACAAACTGGATATTATAAAGGTACAGACAGGGCAAAAGAGAGAGCTTCAAAGGTGCTTGGAGTAGAGAGAGCAGCACTGGAATAAAGAAAAATTCTGGCCTGGGACAAAATATTTGGATCTATAAATTCTGCCTTTTTTTTTTAAAAAACAAAAATCTGTCTTTGTAGCAACCTTAATTTTGTAAACAAATGTGTTTTACATTTTCTTAAACATTTCCATATGGCTTTTTAATTGTTTCCAGGTACTCTGCTATCATTATCAAACACACAGACCAGGATGGTGGTTCTCAACCTTGGGTGTGCTGTGGAATCAACTGGGGAACTTAAAAAAAAATGTTGAGGACTGAGCTGGCCTTCAGAGAGTCTGATTTCATTGGTATGGGATGCAGCTTGGCCACGGGGAGTTTTAGAAGCTCTGTAGGTAATTCTAATGAAGCAGGTTGCAGTCCACTCACCAGAATGAGTTTTAGTTCTGACTTATCCTCTTATCAGCTCTGTGTCA